TGTTTTTTGCGAAAAAAATATAATCTTAAAATTTGACTCGTAAAAACTGAACGGAATTCGATCGTTTTTCTCATAGTAATTGGCAATATGTAGTACTAAATTACAAATCAAGTGAACGTTAATATACTGATGTTCGAAGAGGATAGACGAAGAACTAATTTACAAAGGTTATATGCAGGGTCGCTGCAGCTTCTCCATGGCGTTTCTGCCTTGATGGCAATGCACCGGTCGTAGCAGCTGTGGCCATTCCGATGAAAGGCGAGTTGTAGCCGAAGAGATTGAACGCTCGGTCGAAGAAGCCGGCTCGGCAGAACATCTCCGAAAAGGTGATATCACACGGCGGTATATCGAACGAGATCAGCATATTGCCGGCGCACTGTTGGAACTCCCACAGCACGGATCTCAGAGCCGTCTGAGTGCAGCTGCAGTACGAACTCTGTTGTGCGAGCAGCTTCTGTAGGAACTGTTGCGATTGCCTGAAAATCAAAATTTCCGTTGATGCTCATCAGCCAAGTAGAATGAAACCATATGAGAAAGTTTTGCTGATCTGTGATGATTGAAAAGAATTCAAAGTACAGGGAAATTTTTTTTATAAGCTTGCAGGCATTAAGAGCTACCGGTTAAAACTACGGATCAATTTCATTCAAAACCTATTAGATAACTGAGACAGTAAAAGAAAATGCTAAAAGGGACTAGTTTGTGAGGCATTACAATATCACGTCTATGTAGAGCTACATTGGATGAGGGTTATTTTTCATTTATTTTCATGAAGGTAAGGTGAGTATCGTACTTGAGAAGAATAAAATCTTTCCCTACTTACTGTATTGTATTGCCGTCCTTCCCTTAATTAAAGTTTAATTTTTACCTGAACTCTTCTCATGCGCAGAAATGAGTTTAGCAGTAAGCTACGGTTGAAGTGTCTTGTATCTTTCTCTGAACCATTCAACAATTTACCTTAACTACGGTAAGTTTTAGAATATTTCTTCAGGCAAGTAACATTGAACATAGGTGAACTCGTGACATAACTTAAAAGCAACTTACTTCATTATTTCCTTTTCAAAAAGCTCTTATTGCCATTTCTAATTTACGCTTTTTGTCTCTCATCCTGAATCAACATCATTTCCGGTTGTCTTACCCAGCAAAACATTTGTCGACATTCGTGCAGTACTGGTCGAACCGCTTCTCGACCTCCAATACACGGAAAAAAAAGTTGTCCGAGTGTGCTGTGTGGATCCTGGCCTTTGCGAAGACGTTGAAGATGCATGAACCGATGTCGACCGCCTTGGTAGGAGAGCATACTTTTGGATCGCGCATGTTCTTCAGTGCCTCGTAAGCTATCTGCCAGTAGGCCGGCCTAAATCCTCCTTATCACTCGGTCACAGTACTTTTCGATTAATGGCCGAATTTACTCATGATCGGCGCTGATTATCTGGTCGAAGACTGTAGCGCTTTGAAGGTCGAATGATGCCACCAGACTGGATGGGATTTCCGCGTCCTCTGGTAGGTGCAACCGCTGGCATCCTTTGACCGCTGATGTGCCGACAGATTTCAGCTTTTCCATGCAAGGCCTTAGCATCTGTTTTAGCGGTTTCATCATAGGGTTGTCATTGTCTGGAATCAAGCACCGGTGCCTACAAACCTGCCTGATCAGCAAATAATGTCATGAGAAAGGTTCATTAACAATATTTTAATTTTAAAAATCTTTGAAACGAGAGGCATTACAATACAAACAATGACTATGGGTAAACTATGACTATGACCTATGGCTAAAGGGTAAATGGATGCAACAGAGGCCTTTATTTTGCAACACTGTTTGTTCCCTGATGATAGACAACTGTTGTCTGAAATGTGAGGTCGTATTGTTGACATCTTTGTGTCTATGACCCATTATATTAGAGGATCTGTCTAAAGAACCGTTAATTTCAAGTAGTGGCACAGAGCCAACAAATTTCGGGAGACAGTTTTTAGTTCTGATTAGTGAATTTCGTTTTTCGCCGTTGCTCGTCCCAAGCTTGCATGAAAAAGGAAATTGGTTGGAAATTGTGGTGAAGTCTCTCGTGTAATTTGACATATACCATAGATATCAAGGCTGTTCAAAACTGCTTGAATAGACAGTAACAAGTATGGAAGAATGTATAATGCATAAACATAATTAGTTGTTTGTATGCTGGGGTGTGCAAAATAACGAATAACTCCTCCAAGACCAGTCCGATGGTTGGTTGTATCGCCGTATTGCTCATAGTTACATAAGGAAAGGGTGCATTTAAGCAGACCACGACCTTTGTATTTCAGTACCTACAGCGCCAGCTGTATCTCACATTATTTTGTCAGCTGGAGCCATCTCATCGTCATTACGAACGATGTTTTAGCAGCTGCAACTGTTTATGTGCATGTTTACATAAACATGATAGGTTGTTAGTCCTCCAAAGCCATGACCTGCTTAAATTATCCCCTTAGCCAACTAAAAATAAGGTACGCCTATGTAATTTATTCGTTATAAGGTCGCCTGTTAGGAATAGCAAAAATTAGCAAGACAAACCGATGAACTAAAACGCAACCATGAGTGTACGTGACCTTGCTATAGCGAAGCAGCTGAAATGACAATGGGCAAGACACGTTGCAAAAAGAACGGATTATTGATGCACAAAAAAGTACTAGACTGGAGTAGAAGACTGACGTGGGAAAATCTCAAGGTCGATCGCAAGATGAATGAAAAGAATTTGCTGGTCCATCGCGGATAATAACTTAAAAAGATCGAATTTTGCGAGGTCTTCATGTAGCAGTTAACTGAAAAAGGCTAACGATTAAGAGGTGACTCTCCGCCGTTGAAATGGCATAAGAGTTTGACATAACATAGTAAATTCAGTTGTAGCCACACTGAAGCACCGTGCGTCTTGACTGCCGACGGTCATGTTTTTGTATCCGATTTTCAGCTGATTTCAAAAATAGAAAAGGGCGAATAACCCTATAAATTTGTAAAAAAGCCTGTTGTGTACCTGAGTTCGATCATTTACTTGCAGTGTGTCCGGTTAATTAAACGGCCCTAAAGGAAAACGGAGAGTATTTCGAAACTTTTCTCACTTGAGAACCGTCAGCTGGCCGCAGAAGCGTTCGAGCACCTACAAGAATACATCGCTGAGGTAAACCTGCTGGCGACGAGTGATATGATCTTTGTCGCAACAGTGAACATTGCGTAACAGGAATCTGAGGTACCGTTTCTAAAGGTCATGCTTCATGACGCTGGGCTACTCTGCTGTTTAAGCTCCATTAACCTTTGATGAAGATGACACAAAAACAGGTTATTAAAAGAATGCATGTATTCTTTTTAACGGTATTACCAAACCCAAACCAGTGACATTCATTTCCAAGGGGTGTATGGCATGAAGAAGAATCATATGTTCATCAGGTTGCTAAGACATACCGTAGCCTACAAGCCTTTCTATATCTATTTGATTTCTGCAAGCGTATCTTTCCACACAGAAAGATTTATTTCCTCACTGTCCGCATAGCTTTCAAACGCCATGAAAATTCTTTACGGCTTCTGCAATCGAGGGTATTAAACTTATCGTATAACGACCTGAGCAATGTTCCCTGGATTTAGACTTTGCAGCATGAACGAGAGTCTGGAAGTTAGGAACTGTAAGTTGTCATGCACAATGCTGAACTCGATTAAGGTAAGGATTAAATAATTATCAAACGTGAAATTTAATAACTATCCCACTGACTCACCTATTGAGAATGACGATAAATACATCGTAATCTCAGCCTGTCTACTCTAATGAGAAATGTTAAACGGGAAATTATTAAAATGTACTTGACAAAGCAGTCCTTCACGCTCTTTTTCAAAGCTTCCTGAGAAGTGATATTCGGCAAGGCTCCCAACATCGCAGCCCGTTGACACTGATAGAACTTTTTGATTTCTATGTCCTTGGTGAAAAGACGCTCACTTCTGCTTTCGACCCCGAAGATGACCAGCCAGCAGCCGATCAGCAACAAAGATAGCAGGTTTGCCAAGCTGCCCATTTCAGCGTTTGGTTCTGTCGCGCAACGTTCAAGTCGGCAACGAACGCTTATAAAGTTAAAGGTTACGATGCCGGGTAAAGCGACCGCTATTTGGGTCGCGTGAAAAACTTCTTCGGTCGTAGTCCAAACGACGACGATCGTAAGAATTCAACATGAACCGAATTAGAGTGTCATTTCCGCTGAAAAACAAACGTTTGTGCCGTTGTTTCTTCGATAACCTTTGCTGACCCGTTTCCAAAAGTTTGCTTCTGAACGAAAGAAAATCACACTTTACAACGAAAAGTACTCTTTGATTGAACGTGCAATAAAAATGGTTACGTTTAGTCAGAAAGTTGCTTTTATAAGATTAATAGTCGAGACATACCGAAACATGAATGAATGAATGAAATACGATAAATGTACAACATAAACTTGCAGGAACCCACTAACCTCTCCCGATGCAACTAGAGCCTGAAATTCAGACAGTCGAAAGAAAGGAGCGCGATATCTCTGAAGAAAAATTGTTGCCTCTGCATTTAAACAGCATTCAACTATCGTTTGGCAACTATCGTTTTTCACAGCCAACCTTTGCGTCGACCTCATGGACTGTGTGCAGTGACCCAATTAAGGGAGTGTATACAAGAGAAAAGTGCAGTAGAGTGTAATTTCCTTAAACACGATAACGGGCCACTTAGTCTCACGGCTGTCTCTAAGGGCAGTGACAATTAGAGATTGAATAACGTGAATGACCAAAGGCAAATCTATTCAGACAGAAATTCTCACTACAAGTTCAAACTGAAGGTTTTGAGTCGCAGTCCATCGTATTGCCATAACAGTGCAGAGCAAAATCTACTTGTCACATTGTCTGTACTCCGAGTCGAAGATGACGACATCGATGGATAATAACATTATTATTATTATAGCCATACTGTTAACTTCCGGGAAACGGCTCTCCTACATTATCACTGAAAGGATGAGGCAGACTAATCGAAGACTACGCCTAAATGGAGGAGGCTTTCAGAAAGTCCATTCCTGCCTTAACCAAATCTTTACTTTGTGCAGGATCAGTGAGCAATGCCAGCGATTTCAATTGCTTCAGTTTGTCAGTTTTCTCAATTTATGCCTGTATTTGATTCAGTACACGATCCAAGAATGTGGAAAATCGCAAAAAGCTAAAGGAAACCAAAGTTCATCGTTTCCACTTTGGAAGTGACGTATGCAAAAACTGATGAACATGGAAACAACATTTTGGGTGAAAAAGAAGCATCTCTTTTCACGCAAATCCCCTTGTACCTCTTTCAGATCAGCGCTGTTGTACGCCATGGCAACATTTCTAAACAAAGCAACAACAGCGGTTGAACTTCACAGAATCGTTTGCTTCGACACAGTGTGAGTTAAATGGCGGGTCAACATAAGGAATGACTAAGTTCTTTTCAGAGTACAGGTGTCATCGGTGGATGTGGAGATGAAGAACAGCAGGTTGGCCTTGTTAGACAACTGATTGAGGATAAACAATTTATTCCAGTCCAGCAGCTTCTGGACGGAAATCAAAACACGACGGATGTCGATCAGAAAGACCAGCATGCAACATGGAGGGAAGGAACCAGGTAGACGCAGATCTGCTTTAAGAGAGGATTATTGTTTTCTTAGAGCAACGGATGCTTGAGGCAAATGTGTTAGAAAGTTGCGAGCACGAGCATATTATAAACTAGTGACATTCTTTTTATGCAGGTAACCATCTGAAAAAAAACATTTACGACCAAACAACGGCATAGACCCATTTCGGTTCATTTGTTAAAGCAAAGTCATGTAATGTAGACCATCTCTGCAGAATACGGGGTACTCCTAAAAAAACTTTGATGAGCTGTGAAATAAAAACAAGTGAAACCGAACGGAAGATAGTATATGATTAGTTAGAAATAAACAGACTGAGTACGAGATATTGTTCTAAATGCGGTGTCAGATTTAGTGCTAATGACCGTCAACGTGACCAATTACCAAAAAAGGTAGTAGTCAAGAATTCTACATGAAAATTTCGAATTATAATTGCTGTAAATGACAATGAGAGTCTCAAAAAAACTAAGCACTGCAAAGGGCATTCCAATAAGAAAGACCACATGCCCAATGTTGAAACATGCTCCTGATCCAAAAAGGGAGCAATCACCAGAAACTCGCCTTTCGTTCCTAAAAGTTTGCGCTCTAGTCGTCGTGTCGTTTCAGACCTATTTTCAGATGCAACGGTGATTGCATATTATCTAATTTCCTGACAAACTGCTTCATTTGCACACTGCCGCTAATTTGCGTAATTTGGATTAAGTAAAACGCATTTTGTACTGTTTTGCAACATTATGAGAACAGTAAGATATTCCATGTTAAATTTAGGGTGTCTTCTGTATAAGGAAGGAATCTTACCATATTAATGCACCTCTCGGGTCGTGTATCGCTTCCATTTCATATGTTGCGATGCCTATATCTGGCAGATTGGTTTAAACCGCAACAAGTTACGGCAAGATATAGCCTGCGGTGGCAGAACACAGGGTTGCACAAAACTATATCATCCAATAATAATCATGATATTTACAACCGTAATGAGCTCAAGTGCCTGACCTTGAATATAGTATTTGTTATCTTCATAGTCTATCTTTAAAATATGTACCTTTGACGGCTAGAAAAACTTGATCCGCCGACGATTCTAATTCAAATAAAACTCGTCATCGAAAGGGGAATTAATACACGAAACTGGGCTTCAAACGCAGCATCACTGCGAATCATAATCCAGATCGGACAGTGGTTGTGCACTCAGTAGCGCGTGTTTATTCATTTTAAATATAAAATTAAATAAAATCGGTGTTTATTTCAATGTCATATTCATGGATTTTGTTTAAAATCAGTGCAGTAATTTCGCTCAAAATTTTCTCCGAAGACACAACAGCAACTTTGTATGAACGCTGTCAAAGCAATTATGACGCGTTCGATATCAAGCCCCACGTAGTACCACTTTCGTCGGTTTTCGATGCAACATAACGTGCATTAATATATCAACGTGCATGATGTTTTACTTCGATTATGTTTCATGCTACATATCGAGATGGCTAAATTTTCAGCCCTTTTGACATTATAATCTATTTCGCGCGAATATTTGATTTTTAAAAAAAGGGAACATTATCTGTTTAGAATCGTCCAAATGTATTGCTATGATTGCCTGACCAATCGTTTACTTAGGGATAAAACTGCTATTGCGTAAATGAGAGTTGTAGAAATCGCTATCGGAAGATACCAGAAATGCCAGAATGACACATGACTGTAGTATTCGCTGCAGCTTTCATGGCACGTCGTAAGCCATATGCCATTTGATTGCACACATATTTAACAAACACACAATTTTGCCGTTTGCCGTTACAGCATGCCAGTTTCAGACGTCAGTTCGTTGTGGATCTTATTCCGGAATGTATGGCTGTTGCGTCCTGTCCGAATCTAAATTAAACTGTATAAATAATAAAACATTGAAATAGATTTCATTGAACTAATATTATAAAGGCTTAATCTGAAAAAGACAGTGCCTAAATTCCCTTCAAACATTTTTTTAAGAATCTCTACTATTCTAATAAGTGAATAAGGATATATTTGAAGCTGATGCGTCTTCTGATTCTATTCCATCAGCACGCGTTGCAAATCCAGAATCAGAAAAGCTTAAAGTCATGCAACTGCGCTGTATCAGTGCGAATCTATACAAGTAATTATCCATTTTTTCAAAAATCATTCGCTATATAACACTTGAAACAGGCGCCACGCTAAAACCTTAACTTCCTATGAAATATACACTACTTATTCTAATAATCATCACATACACATTCAAAAAAATGAAATGTAATGAATTAAAATTCATGACATTCATTAGTGGAATTTTCTGCATATGGGCATTTACATCGAATAACAAATTGAAAAAATGCCTATTACTCTTTTTTAACAAAAGTTTCTGTACACTTTCTGCTAGTTTTTATGATTTGCGCATCTGAAAAACTTCATTTACGCAGTCAAAAAATTCAATCTTTAGAATAAACTTATTTGCACAACCGAACGGTCGATTTATGACTTTATTGGCATATCAGACTGTAGATCTACAAGAGAGTTGCCACTTGAGTAATGACATGCCCTCGTTTTAGATGTTACGGAATCGTTCAAATCAACCGCGTTGATGGGCATGGAGTTATATATTACATGTGAATGATTATAGTAGTTTTTTATGGATAGTTTGTTGATCGGTTTGACATTTTCCCTTAGCCTCATCTTTCCTCCAGAACAGTCAGTTTAGGTTGACTGAGGGTCGAAAAGAGATTTCGGTTCGTTCCGTATATTTTTTAAAAGTATGTATCTGTATCGTTAACTGCATGCCATATAATACGCTGTAAACGATTATGGTTAAATCATAATCATTTGACCAAGTTGGGTTGATTCGCTTATCTGCTCTCGATCCATACTTACTGGACTGTCTGAGCGTTTCCTGCAGTTCCTCTCCGTTTAAATATCGGTTATTTATTCCGTGTGCGTCGTACTTGATGTTTAGTATCCTGTGTTATTAAACTCACCAAAGTTGCGACGGATTCTTCATATCCTCATTTCAACGGATATATAAATTTAGCCATCTTATCCGTTGTAAATGTATATATGTGTGACTTCTGGTGGAACAATGAAATCGAGTAAGCTGAACAATATCCGTGCTATTAGGCAGCTATAATGAACAGATTTATTATTATTATTATCGTATTATTATCGATCGAATCCACTATGTCAATATGTCATTATTGAGAAGGAGTGATCGAGGAATTATGAGTCGGTGATTTGCGATTTTGTAAAATGCAATTTCTTTGCTACGAACTAATGCGAATGTTTGTTCACCTTGCATGCCTTTTGCGTAATACTGTCACGGGAGATGTTTTTCTGATACTTAAGTTTTCGAAAATTTGAATCTTCGATGCATTAAACCCTAATGGTATTTAAGTTCTATATTTCTTGCAAAACAGTGGCTTTAAAGGTGACCAAAAATTTTCTAATCCGATGTTTCAGTTTCCGACACAAAAATCATCATCAAGGATACTTCACAAATCACAATCGTTTTTGAAGTTCCCCGGAAAAGCGGAAATGTCGAAAAAATAAAGAAATTTCTGTCGTCAAGGAAAAATCTATAGCATTTTTTGTTTGATTACAAAAAGACAGCATGTTGTTCTAAAGTAGAAAATTCCTTAGACGTCAGGACTGCCTTCGCCGTTTATATCAATCCATAAAAAATTCATAACCACGTGTTACAATTATGTATTATATCACGTAGCTTCCAAACCGATCTATCAGAAAGTCTACTTGTGCCTGGGAAGTAAAATCGGCGTCTGATGCTTTGAAGACATGTTCATCATCGTAAATGAATAAATGAATGAATGAATGACTGTTTTACTGCTTAAATGGTATTTAAGAATTTCGTGAATTCTGTTTTTCAACATGACAAATGTGAAGAAAAATTAAACCTGATTCTCACAGAACAATGGAAAACATGCAATTTAGCCAACTGAAGAACTGTCAGATAAGCAACATTTTTCTTTTGCTACCGAATTTACACGGCGTACGGACACCTTTTCCTCGTATCTATCGGTCCAGGGAACTGTTTAAGGCTCGACCATGGCTCCATGGTATTTTTAGCACCTGTAGTGCATAGATGTAAAACCGTATTACTGGTTAGGGCAGAATAAAATCCAGTTCGGATACCTGCCGATATGTCACTATCCATAGAGATATTTATATATAAAATAAACACAGATCTTGTCGTTTTATTAGTATACTGCTAGTAAGCTGATAATGCCTGTACGCCGTCTAAATCCGGTAGTAAAAGTTATTTTCTTAACGTCAAAATGGAAAACTTGTAGCTTGTTAGCAAGTCGAAAAGATCGGTGTTCATTTTTGTGTCACATAAGTAATTTGCGTACAGCTTAGAGAAAACTATAACTTGTTGGGCAAAGGCGGTCTTAGGATATATAAATGTTTCATCGTTTATGCGTATGTCATTTTACCGCCAATAACTAGAAAAAGGCCAGTCACTAATCATCATAAAAGAACAGCGATTGATTGATGCACTCTGCGCAGAGGTTGACAACAGTGGCACTCGAACAAACAGAAGAATCTGACGGCGTATGCGTCACATCAGTCATGCCAAGGAGGTTGCATGAGACCTGGAAGATGGACCTTGCTTGAAATTGTGTTTCATGTCTTCAGCCATTTGAACGAAAGATAACGATTATTTGTTGGCTGTTTGAAACTTTCATCATTTCTGTCTGTGGTATGTCGTATGACCAGCCGTTGACGTTTATGAAAATGAAGTGATGGATTGACTGATTGATACAAGTTGAATATCCGAAATCCGAAGTGATGCTTGGGAACAAGATTGTTTCGGATTTTGAAATACATGATATGGTGCAGTTAAAGAGAATTGAGAAAAATTCAGATTTTCAGAAAAGGAAATTCATGAGAAAAAGAAACTCAGTTATTCCACAAATTGAAACGACTCGGGTTTCGATGCAGTGCAACATCAGGTGTAGAACACATTTTCATACAACTTGGTAAGGTAACAATTTTCATACAACCAATAAATTGGTAAGCAGGGGGTTAAAACTAGAGAAGGAAAAGAGGTGGAAGTTAAGGGTTAATGGGTTGTCTCCACTAACATGAAACGCAAACGTAAAAATAGCGTGTTTATGAGGTGTGCTCACTTTTGATCCAGCAGTAGTGACCAAATATGCATTCGAATAGAAGGTAGAGAACTTCTGATAGCGTTTTACTATCCGGCCTTCGTTAGGGACGGAGGAAGGCTCTTTCCTGATTGACCGGGTATCAGAAGATACGACTGCCGATGGAAAGTTGAGAGGAAGAGGACAGGAAGGATGTTCCAGCTGTTGTTGATATTATCCAAAGATATTTTAGAAAACTCGGGACTGAGAAACGATTTAATACAATGTTGCAGATTTCGGAATTTGGGATGGGGATACTCAACCTGTATAGTGACTGACGCCCTTCAGACAGCGGATTGTGGAAGTGGTGGTAGACTGAGACGAAGATTGCAAAGACGATGAGCAAGTGTGTAACTTGCATGTCTTTAGAGTCGCATAGGACACGAATTTAAGACTCGAAATGTACGTCGGGTGTTCGGTCTTCGTTCGACCCAACAAAGTGATGCGGTTTAGCGCCAATGCGCTGCTAGTGCTAAAATACCATGGACTGGTTTCCTGCTTAAAGGGTCCCGTAGGCTACTAGACACAACTATAGGGTGAGACTGCGTCCTATGAACCCGGAGAAGTGACAGGAGACCGTGTCTTTAATGTCCATGCAAGTAGTTTTCGAGCATCCTAGAACTCTTAGTCGATTTAAGGCTGTCTGCAATCGTACATACGCCTATGGTTTTCAGGCTCTTAATGAAGCAGAAAGCTGATTGTGAATAGTGTTTTTATAGGCACGCACTGAGAGTACAAATATACTTGTTTTTTTGTGTTCATTTTTGTCACAGTTTCTTGCACCCTGTACCGTTTGGAGTTGTGAACTGTGATGTTGCAGTTTTCTGCTGATGGTAGCTGCCGTTGTTCAAGCAAGTAAACTTGACTGATTGATAGCATTTATTGTATTTGACTTTGATCGTGCTTGTTTGAAGATGAATTTCTTT